CTGGGAAGAGTTCCTTTTTATATATAGTGGTAAGAATCCTACTAATAATAATACACGTTTCACAATAACAGACTCCTGTGTATCTGACAGGTGTGATTTAGTATAACCTACTGCAATATATTCTCATGTAAATAAAATGTAAAGTATAAAATCATTTTTCCTTTGTTTCCCATTAATCTCTATGATAGACACGCTCGTTTCTAAACTATACGTTTGGTTTTAAAGATTTAAAGAAGATATTCCTCAATAAGCTTGAGTGATATTTAAAGGATTTAATCTATTAATTTTCAAACTGCATTGATATTAGATTGAAATTCTCTCTGTGATGTATGTGATGACACCTGATTTGATGTGTAACAGTTCACATCAGTGCTACAGTGTAACGATGGTTTCTGTAACGGTGGTAAAGCGTTCTGCGACCTCTAGTGGTCACGTGGAGCAACTACAGTTATTTGTCAGTCAGTTCTTCATCACCTTTCTGTTTCACCTCAGGTCCATCCTCCTTGGTTCCAGAGGTTTAGACATCTTCCACATTTCTCAGAGGCTAGAAAGTCTCAGCGCTGCCACCACGTTTGAGCCCCTGGAGCCAGTCAAAGACACGGACATACAGGTACCATAAACTAGCTGCTAGCTAGCTGCTAATGCAGTGTTTTTAACCTAAATGAACTGGTTCAGTAGAGGAAGACTCGCTTACTACTGAGAGCACTGAGAGGTATTTTGTGGAGTGAAATACGAAATAATCCATTGACAGATGGTAAGAGACTAGTACGTAGTCTTTTAATAAGCATGTGCATATTTCACTGCATTTGGAAGTGAGGATTAAATTTGTTTTGTGGCTAAGGTCTGAAAGTAATTAACTGTAGATAATAAGTCTGCATTGTGTCCCCACTGACAAGATAAGCCTGATAAAAACCGAGCAAGTGTGAAGTTTGTTAGTTAAAGGCTGAAAATGTTGAAATTTACAACCGGAGGCTGAACAGAACAAAGATTTAAGAGATAACAGAAATAAGTACACAAAGCCAACGAGTTAATTATTCCAGTGGAAAATTGGGTTTGCTGTGTGACCCACAGGCTCTGTTTTTGTGGACAGTCATGGAAAATCTCATTGGTTTCAAGGTCACATTGTGCTGTTTATTCTCTTTAACTTTGAGTTTTAATCATATTTTCTTTCTGCAAATTCATTAGACTGTACTTTACTATATGATGACATGTATCATCAGTCACACTAAACTACATCTGTGGAGTTAAATTAAAAAAGCTTTCACCCATGTAAAAGCAGTGCATGTCACATAATGTATAGATGTGGCTCTGCAGGTTGTGCTGTGACTGTGTGTGTGTACAGCATTTGTGACGGATACATGGTTGGCATGTTGTCGCATTTAGTCAGGCGTGAGGAGGTAGTTGTGTTATGTGTGTGAAACTGTCTTGTAGTTTGGCAGGTTTGAGCGTGAAGATGTCTGATGGATTGCCAGAGGCCATGCTGCTCTAGTAGAAGTTGGTTAGATCTGAAGATTATACGAGTTATGGAGAAACTGTGATAGCAGGGAGGTAGAACAAAGTGAGCTTATCGTGCGCTTCTGTGCTTTGTTTTAGGCTGGAGGCTCAAAGCTGCGTTTGCTCCTATGGTACATGTGAATCTTGAACTGTTTTGACGGTATTGGAGACAGAAGGTTTAAATCTAAAACAAAGGTTCTGTTAGAAGTCTGAAAGTGCAATATCAAAGTTTATTCTTTTAATGTTGAGTACCAGATTTTCTGCTCCCTGAGTGCTCTCTCCATCCCTTATTCCCACCCTGCTTAATCCTCCTGTATTGGTTACTTATATCTGTTCTCTCCATCAGGTTTACACATACATGTGCCACCACTCTATCACCCTCCTTTCTTATCTCTGTGTTTTTTTTCTTCCACTGTTGCAGTCCAGCCTCTTCTCTGTTTCATTGAAATCTTCTTTATTCTTATTGGTCGGCCAGATGTATCCTGGCCAGGGGGGGTTTCACTCACTGACTGGAAAAGCACTCAGCTTCTGGCAGTGTGAGGGTGAACGCACACACACACACACACACACACACACGCACACACACACACACGAGCACTCTGCCTCCCTGCGATTGCTCTTCTGGGTCTAGAAGATGACATTGCATTACGTTTTATTTCAGGAGAAATTTTCCGCTGCTGTTTCAGACACAAACAGCTGCTCAGTTTAAACAGCCACATTACAGGAATTGGTCAGATAAATGGAAAGTCAGCTGAGATAGTAGTGTTGTATTGGCATTTACCTAATGGGCCCTGCGTTGAGCATATTCAGTATAAATAATTATGATCAAAAATGGAAAATTAATGGAGCGCACTGTACAGTTTTTCGTATGATACTGATGCTGCTGTGGGTATCTGCTGATGCCAAGTAGTTATCTGATACCAGTGTTAAACTAATAAGCTGGAGCTCTGCTGCTGAGGCTTTGTGAGGTAAACCCAGAACAGCAGAGAATTGAAAAGATCGGCTCCGTAGATCAGCTTGAGTCAGGATTGGACTCCAGATGTCAGATTGTCGGATGCATAGACTGCACACAGTAGTCTTTCATATATATGTGTAATCTATAAGCACAATATAGGATGATTTCTGGACAGCCAGGCTAACTGCATAATGGAGCTTAAAGTCTTCACCATCTTCATTAAGCCTGTTTAGTGGCGCAGTGAGCCTTTGCCAAAAATAGTTGTTTACTTTGGTCTTAAATCGTAACGTTGTGATGCTCTGCTCTACCGCCCCCAAACTAAAGGTAAATCTAGTCTTTAGCAGCATCAAAAAGATTTATGTTTTAGCCTTTTTAGTTGCTTTACAGCAGTTTAAGCGAATCTAGCCAGACCAAGGTGAGTCATTTAGAAAGCTGTCTGCTCCCCCATGGGAAATCCTCTTTTAATGAAGATCATAACGTCACATACACACAGTTTGAATTTAATTGCAAATTGTGACTAATTGTGAACCTAATTTAACTGGGCGTGTTTGGCTCCATGACAGTGTGCCAAAAAATTAAGCAGAATTTCAGCCAGAATAAGAAAACAACAAAGACATTTAGTTTAAATTTGAACCATTGAAAAGAGAAACTGAGCTCAGCTTTTTCCCTCCGTTTAACTGATGGTAGTCTCAGCCACTTTATATCGTCAAGTATACACAAAGGAGCAGAGCGGTTATTTGATCATGATGACGACGATAATGAAGAAGGCATCACCAATAAGCTGTTTGATGCACTTTGTTGAACAGCCTTTCCAGAGTATTCTTAACACACAGACGCTACATTTGACCTGCGATTTACACTCAGATGCACTGATGTAGTCGCTCAAATCTTAGTTACTTTTGAAAGAAAGGTGGAAATAATGCCTACTGAAAAGAAATAAATGGTTTATTCTATAATTACACAGCTGGTGCAGTAACAGGAGTATTCTTGTTAAATATTTAATAAAACTCTTTATATTTGCAGTGCTTAAAACACGTTTTCTCGTCACTGTTACAGCGACAAAAACACTTTCTTTAGGGCCGCGTTCGCTCTTCAGTCATCATCGTTGGAGACTCATTCCTTTTCTGTGTAAATGCTAAAATATGCGTTTGTCATCGCCACTTTCAGGACCTCTGTCACGTTCTCGCACTGCTCAGTTCAGTCTCACATTTCAGCACCACCTGTGTTTGTACGTGATGGAGTTACACAAATGGAAGCATCCCCAAACTCAGTGCACATTTTTCTTTTTTTAATTAGCTTTGATTAATATTAATTAGGAGTGAAGCTTTAGTTTACTGTTACTAAAACTTTGATCTTGTTGCTTCCTTTCCTGTCACGATACACTTCATATTAGACTTTTTTCTTTGTCTCACAGGCGACTATTTAAGTTATTGTTCGTACAGATGCATTCCTATAACCACACAAAGGATGTAGCCTGTCTATATTTATCTAACACCCCAGATATTATCGCTGCACACGGACAGAGTCTCTGTTTTACAATCACATATTGTTGTTTTATCTGCAGTCTGTCAATGATTTTATTCATCAGCCAACTTTTCATCATCAGTTTAACTTTCAATTTAAATCTACGCTTTACATTTTCCCCGTTACCGCTGCTGACTCACACATGTGCACCCATGGCAACCCTGAAATCAAACAATGTATCCAAATGTAACCAAGGACCTCTAACGTGTGCATCCTCGCTCCTCAACCCGACCTCAGTGCGTCAGATTGTGTTTCATTAGGTTTAAGGGGTGCGAGGCAGTCGAGGCTGTAGTTCTCCAGGATAGACGGGACACAAAGGAAATGGAAAATGTGCTGTGTTTTTATGAGTGTGTGTGTAAATGTGTGTGTTTGCGCACGAGTGAGCTGGTACATGGCTCTGCGGCTCACACACGCGTGCATGTAGAGGGCAGTGCTGTGTGATATATGCTGAAGCGCTCCTATAGGTTGTGGCTCGTCTTAGATTTTGGGCTTCGTGGACGTCGGAGCTGCTAGCAGGGATTAGCATGTTTTTAGATTGCACATACTATGGACAACTTCATATTTAGTAAGATTATGTGGTTGGTTAGATGAGGCTTAGTTTGTTCCAAACGTGAATATATTTACATCTCATGTTTAGGGTCTTTATCAGAGTGCAGTCTGCTTACAAAGGATTAACAGGAAAGGATTCAAAAAGCAGAGAAAGAGAAGAGATCACATGATAAGAGCAGAAAAATGAAACTGTACAAGTGAAAGGCAGAGAGCAGAGCGGGTAGAAAAATGGCGACCGGCTTCAATATTTTTCCGTCTCCCTGTCCTTGTCTCACTTTTCACTGTTCCATCTTTCTCTGCCAATGCTCTCTTTCTCCTTTTTCGTACATCACACTCGTTCTGCGTGTTTCTCTGCTTTCATTTTTTCCCCTTTCTCTCTTAAATTGCATATTTTCACATTTTTCTGCTTCTCCCATTTACATCCTTTCTCTTCCTCTCCTGTTCTTCTGCCCTCCCCAGCCCTTAAACACACACATATCCCTCAGCAGTGATGGCATGCGTTCAGCGGACGCAGTTGGCTAAGCCCAGAGCATCTGCTGAGATACACGAACGCTCCTGACATAGCTTCACAGGATGTGTGTGTCTCTCGTGCACAAGCTTCGTGTGCTGAGATTGCATGCCTGTGCGTCAGGCGCTATCGATCGCTGCTGTATACGGTGTCTGAAGCGTGTATTTATGAATGAATGTGTAGCATAGATTTGTCTGCACGTGGTTGCTTGCATCCCTGTCTGCTTGCCTGCACACATGAATCCAGTCGTGTGTGTGTGTGAGAGGCTATGTGCACAAAACTTCAGGAAGTGCATGGATTAACATGCCTGAAGCTGTTTGTGTGTGCACGTGTGCACTATAATAGACAGACTGCATATAGGAATACCCCCCACGCACCCACCAACCCATCCCCTTTCTCCCCATGTGCCTCCCAAACCCTTCATTAACTAAACATGACCCTTAAGAGCATGATTAGCCTCATTTCGAGACAGGATGTCGGAAGCCATCAACCGAGGGGGAAAAATCCATTACTATAATTGCATTGAGCTGAAGGAGGGAGGAGAGAAGGAGGGAAGAAAAGAAGGATGCATAGATGGATA